TTGGGTTATACTCAGGGCAATCTCTGATTCAGAGGGATTTCTTTTGGTACCAGTGGTCTCCAGGTTTGCTCAGAGATTGCTGTGAGGGTCATGCCCTGCTCTGAAGAGGAGCACTGGCTCTTTAGGAAGGGATATAGGACACTGACACCACAGACTCAGCCTTCCTTGTCACAGGAGATGTGCTGGGAGGGTTTTATGTTGTCTGAACTTTGATGTCCATCAGTGGAGATTGTGGCTTCTCAATGCCTTCCTGGGACAGGCTGACTCCCATTTTGGAGGCATCTTTCCCTTCCCAGTGCCGGAGACAAGGTCATGGTGCTGTTATGACAACCCGTGGGTGACTGGAGTTGGGTGAAATGAAGCCTTCCCTTAGTTATTGAAGAGGAAAACCTGAATGTGCTGTCTGAACCACACACTGAACTCGTGCTGGGAGGGGAGGAGCTGCTCTGGCGTTACCATTGCCCTGAGGATAGGTAGTGTTATGCTGTCCTGAAATGAAGGAAACAAAGCATGAGTCTGATCTTTCCATGCTGGTCTGATCTTAAACCAGCTTAATGCACTCCCTTCCTAGCCCAGTCCCTGGCCAGTGTCTCCACATGCCCTACCATGTCTCCAGCATCATCCAGCAGCACACTGTAGTCAGTGCCTGACACAGGCACACTTTGAGGGTTCAGAGTTACAGCCGCTCAGAAAGGAAGGAGAAACTCTTTGAAATCAAGAAGGCCTAAGCTTGCTAAAGTTTTGAAAATTAACATCATGCTTCTCTTGGTGTCCTTGATTAATTGAAGAGAACTTCTATATAACATGGGGCCAGAAATGCACTTTTAAAGTTGAGTCACTTGGTTTTGAATGAGAGTTATTGGCTCTGGACAGAAATTCTGTGTTTGTACAGAAGAATTATTTTATTTTCTTCTGGCTTCACCAGCACTACAAAAATCTTTCTTTGCCAAAGGAATGGGCAAATTTCGCCTCAGTAGAAATGCAGCAGAAAGCTCAGTCTTGTAAGGGCTTTAGCTAGATTGGGACTTTCTAGAGTTTAGATGGTTTAAAGAAGAACGGTTGTCATAGTTTGTCTGGTTTTGCAGCTACGAGAGGCTGACAGCCCATGCAGCTGAGACACACAGCCTTGCAAGGCTTTGACAATCTAAATGGCTACAGCTCTCTCTGCTGACTTTGGGCCATGGACTTCCAAAGCACTTAAGGGAGTTCGCAGTTTGCTTTGAAATTTAAGCAGAGAAGAGCTTTTAGTGTAACTCTGCAGGTCTCAGAAAGGCTTATCTCAGGAGGGAATATTCCAATGGCTTTGTGCTGTCAGTGTATTAAATGATATAGGTTGGCTACTTTTTCATCTTCTGTTGCACTGATCTAACTTAATACAAACACATTACTGGAGAGCTGAGCTAAAATCGTGTAGATTTTAATAAGATCATAACAAAAACCATTGAAATCTTCTACTCTTATGCAATTTAAATTCAATTTACAGTCACTGTTTATTTTCACATACTTGGATGTTGTTTTAAGCACTGGGGTTTTTCTGCACTGCTTGCGTAACCAACAGCTATTGCAGTATCAAACCAGTGCTCTTAATGTGCTCTGGAATTTGTTTTTTTGGACTTTTACCATTTAGAAAATGTATCCAGTGGAAAGGACAATCTGAGAAGCAGGGAAACCTTTCCACAAGCAGCAGCTGTTCCTGCTGTTTGGTGTGTACAAAAGTAGAAAATATGATCTGAAAATGTACTCACTGCCTGTATTTGTTCCATGGGAGCTTATCTATACCTGCCACAGGTCATGGCTGTTCCTGCTGCAGACCTGAGGCTTTGGGCTTGCAAATTCCTGTGCCATGTGGCCACATCAGAATGGTGGCATTAAAATACTGTTGTTTTGTCATTATAGGCCACATAGAATCATAGAATTTTAGGGGTTGGAATGGACCTTAGAGGTGATCTAGTCCCAACCCCCTGCCCTGGGCAGGGACCCCTCTCACCAGAGCAGGTTGCTCAGGGCTTTATCCAACCTGGCTCTGAACACTGCCAGAGTTGGGGCAGCCACAACCTCCCTGGGCAACCTGTGCCTGTCTCATCACCACCCACACATGTCGGACTTGTTGATCTTAGAGATCTTTTCCCAAGCCAAATGATTCTGTGTGCACCTCTCATTAGCTCCCTTGCACAGGCACCTCTGGAGAGATGATTCCTTCTGTAGCTTGTAGCTGCAGCTAATAAATGGGAACAGAACAAGCATTTTGGTTTTCTATACAATGGAAAGCTTGAGCTTGGTTATATTAGAAACTCAGAAG